AAAGCCCCTGGTCTAGATAGGATAAATGCTGGCTATATTCAATGCTATTGGAGTGACCTAAAAGAGAGTATCTTTCATCTTGTTAAGAAGGTCTTCTCTAATCTTACTACCATTAGCAAAATCAATGACACCTTCATTACCCTCATTCCTAAGATTGAAAACCCTACTTGCATGAAGGACTTTTGCCCGATATCTCTTTGCAATGTTAGTTACAAAATTATTACCAAGCTCCTCTCCAACAGGCTTCGGCAATGTATAAATCACTTGATTGGAGACCATTAATGTAGCTTTTTACAAGGAAGACAAAGTAGTGATAATATCATCATCGCACAAGAGATCATTCACTCCATAAGAAATAAAGGGGGAAAGAAGGGCTTCATGGCACTCAAAATTGACCTAGAAAAGGCTTTCGATAGACTTTCTTGGGATTTCATTGAAGATACTCTTCGTATCATTGGAATAAATGATAATTTTAGGAAACTTATCATGGCAGCCATCTCTACTACTCGCATGAAAGTTCTTTGGAATGGTGAACCTGCAAATGAATTTACACCAACTCGTGGCATTAGACAGGGAAACCTTCTTTCACCTTATCTCTTTGATCTTTGCATTGAACGACTAAGTCACAGCATACTTAGTAGTATTGATAAAAAAGAATGGAAACCTATTAGCCTAACAACTAATGGTCCTCCTATCTCTCATCTATTTTTTGCTCACGACTTATTCTTTTTTGCAGAATCTTCTCTCAGCCAAGCTAGGATCATCCAACAATGTCTTTCTAACTTTTGCAATGCTTCTGGACAAAAAGTTAACAATACTAAATCCAAACTTTTTTGCTCCAAGAATGTTAATATTAATAGAGTCATCCAGATAAGCGATGAAATAAGAATTCCCCTAACCGAGAATCTTGGAAAATATTTGGGAATTCCTATTATCCATGAAAGAGTTTCTAAGCTTACCTTTGCCTCACTGATCGATAAAATTAACTCTCGGCTCTCAAATTGGAAAAGTCGTTATCTCAATACTGCTGGGAAATCTATTCTTATAAAATCTGTCCTATCTTCTATTCCCAACTATGCTATGTAAACCATGCTTTTATCTGATAATGTCCTAAATGATATGGAGGCTCACTCCCGCAATTTCCTCTGGGATTCTACTAATGGTACCAAAAAACCTCATCTCTTATCTTGAGATTATGTCACTAAGGATAGCAAACAGGGAGGCCTCAACCTTAAAAAGCTCAAAAGTCAGAATAAGGCCTATATTATGAAACTTTATTGGGGTATCATTACAAAACCTAATTGTCTTTGGGTTTGTGTTCTTCGTGATAAATATAAATGCAATAACCCTAACATCCCTATGATTTGCAAAACTAGCTCTTGCTCTTACACGTGGTCTAGTATATGTAAAGTCTGGGACCAATTCATCTATCATGTGGGTTGGAAGGTTGGAAAGGGGGACCAAATATCCTTTTGGTATGACAAATGGTGTCCCTTTCCTGAACCTCTTGTAAAGTACGCATCTCCTAATGCAAATCCTATTCTACATGCAAAATTCTTAGACTTTTGTTCTAGTACAGGTGTCTGGAAGGTGGCCCAAATTCGTAGATATTTGCACCGCGATATCATCAAGCAAATCATTACCGTCAAACCTTCCCATCCCAATGCTCATGACGATACTATATATTGGAGGCCCTCTAATGATGGTAGTTTTTCTATCAAATCTGCTTACAAGTAGAGCCGAGAATAAAGGCCGGGCTTGAAAGCCCTGTTTAAATAAGGGTTCGGGCTTTGAAAATAATTTTTTTTAAAATAATCGGGCTTGAGGGCTTGGCCCTAATAAACCCTGTAAAATAGGGCTCGGGCTCAGGCTGCCCTTCAAACCCTGTTATATTATTTTTATTATTATTTTTTTAGTAAAACACGTGTTTGAAATCAATGACCTACTCACCTGATCCTACATACATTATATTATTATTAATTTTAATTTATTCTAAAATTAATTTAATATAATTTAATAAATATCAGTGTATAGTATAAAATTTATGATATTTTTTATTTTTCTATAATTATTATGTTTGTATATTTATAAAAAAAATGAACTATTTTTTAAATGAAGATTTAAATTTTATTACTAGACTTCTAATGTATGTTATTTAATTTCTAAAAAATTATGATGATTTTAATTTTTTTAATTTTAAAATATTTTAATTTATTTATAATGTTTAATTTTATTTTAATTTTTTATTTTTTAAAAAAAGGGCTTACGGGCCTGGCCCTGAGCCCTGAGTATAAGGGCCGGGCTTGAAAAATTGGAATCAAAATGGGAAACCAGGCTTTAGGGCTTAGGCCCTAAAGGGTCAAGCCCATAAGGGCCGGGCCCGCCCGTATTCCCACCTCTACTTACAAGGCTATTGAAAATCATTGCAATAATACCAACTCTAAGATTTGGTCCAAAATCTAGAAATGGCCGACTTATGAAAAGATCAAAACCTTCCTTTGAAAAGTTGCTTGGGATCGCATACAACCTAAATTCACTTACTCGGATGGGGGCAATCCCTGTTACAAAATATGCCCCCTTGGTTGCAACTCTTTGGATTCAATTATACATATTTTAAGAGATTGCAAGACATCAAAAGAGGTATGGTTAAAATTATTAAAACAATCCAAAACTAACACTTTCTTTTCTCTTCCTTTACAGGATTGGATAATTTGAAATGTCAAAAATGATGCGGGAAATGCTCTAGCAAGGAAGGGTTCTTGGCAAAGACTCTTTGGCCATGTGTGTTGGAATATCTGGAAAGAAAGATGCAAAAAGGCCTATTTTGAGGAAGATAATCAAGATAGGGACATTGCTTTCACCAGTATCCAAAATATTATCAGCGATCACAATATCTCCAATCCAAAATTGAATTTCTCACTCAAAAAGGAGATAGAACTAAAGCTAAATGGCTCCCTCCTAAAGAAGGATGGGTTAGACTAGACACTGATGACTCCGTTAATTCTATTAGTACAACTTCTTGTGGCGGTCTCATACGTAATGATCAAGGTAACTAGATTAAAGGCTTCTCTAAATATCTTAGATACCACCCAAGCACAGCTGCTGAACTTATGGGCATCCTGGAAGGTCTTACTATTTGCTGGGCAGAAAAGTTTAACAAAGTTAATGTCTACTCTGACTCTACTGAAGCTCTATCGCTAATCTGCAATGAGTTCTCTACCAATCACCCTCTCTTTACCACTATCAATGATATCAGAAATCTTATTATGTGAGACTGGACTGTCACCTTTGACCACATTTTTAGAGAAGCAAATACTTGTACTGATTGGTTGTCACACCAAGCCTCTATTGATAATTTCAATGTACTTATTTTTGACACTACGCCCCTAGGTTGCAGGGACCTTTTGTACGCTGACATGACTCAATGAGTCCGTTAGCACGGTTTTTCTGTGGCCTATCATTCAAAAAAAACTTTTAGAACCCCACACGATCTGTTTGCTTCCCCTGTCTAAAATTTTCCCAAACCCTTCCTCTTTCTCATTTCTCTCCTCTCGACAGCAACTCAGCTTCCTCCCTCTCTCTTCTCTCCGGCAACGCTTCTCTCTCGAACCCGTCTTCCCCCTTCTATTTTATCAACGGCGATGAAGCTCCAATTAGAGTTCTAAGACCCAACCTCCCACTTCTATACTCTCGTCGGCGACACTGCAGCTCGTCGTCTCCTCTCTCCTCTCTCCAATTCTTGTTCTCTCCTCTCTCTCTCGTCTTCTCTATTGACCTCGAGTTCCTCTTGTCCTGTTATTGGTCTTCATAGATGTGAGGTTAGTTTTTTTTTTATTTTTTAAATTATTCTGATGTGTACTTTTATCATGCATGGTTGATGTGAAGATGTTAGGTTGGTTTGTTGTTGCTGTGAATGGGTATTTTTGACTCTAGCTTTTATTGAATTCTGGATCATAGACAAAGGCAGTATAACTGATGTCCAAATTTCAACAATTACATATATGAAAAATTAACAACTCCATTTTATACTCCATTAAATGAACAGCAATAAAAAATTGGAATTAAAGTCAAATTTTACTTGAAAATTGTCAGACTTAAATGCTCGTTTGCTTGCGTTTGGAACAAGTGTTTGTGCTGTTGAAATTATCCTGCATCTTGTCTTTCACCCTAGCATTCCTTGCTAGCCTGTCTGGTTCAACGGACAGGGTGCGGAGACTTCGATGATATCTTGTTCAGTTTAAGGAAAGGAAGGGTGGGAAAATAATTGAATATAAGTTTGACTAGTTTTAGAATTTTTAAGAAATGTCAGTTGATATTTAAGGATATGCTTTCAACATTACAATTAAAGAAAAGACCTGCAACTGATTATTAACTCTTTCAGGAAATTGAGAAAAATGCCAATTTTACCCTCATTCGAACTCATCATATAGGCCATGCAATTTTAAGACTTGGCTTTTCTCTATTTTCTCTCCTTTTCATTTCCTTTCTATTTTTCATTTCAACCATTAGATTCATTTTTAAATGATTGAGATTTGATGTTTCATAAAATTATTATTATATTTATTAAAAAAATTCACATTTTAATAATAATTTTATGCACATCAAATCACAACCATTTAAAAATAAATCTAGTGATTAAGATGGAAAGTGGAGAGGAAATGAAGAGGAGAGAAAATAGAGAGAAGCCAAGTTTGTAATTTTAGAAGCACAGACCAACATTTCCTTTTTTATCCAAAAACATAAGCCAACGTCAAATAAGGATAATATGAAAAAGATGTAAAAGAAGCCAGAAGGAAAAACAAAGATTATATATAATGGCACACAGCTTCGCTAAAATTGAAAATTAACCCTTCATTTAGATGAGAAGAAAAATTAGAAAGAAAAAAAGTTGGAAAGAAAAATTCCTAAAAATAATGATATTATTATTTTTAGAAAATTCTTCTCCTAATTTTTTCTCCTTCATGTTTTCTTTCCACATTCAAGCCTAGAGAGAGTGGTCTCTAGTAAGATTGGGTCATGTTAACAATGGGCTTAGGAGGGGGATGAAATTCGATACCATCGCTATAGCGATTTTGAAGATCATCCCAAATCATGATCCCACGAAACTTAGGATCTCTTTCTAAGTGAGGAATGACCTTCCTGTTGAGATCATCAGTGGGGATATAGCCCTCATAACTACCAGAGAACCCCGTGAGGCCCATATAGAACCACGTTGTCGGGCCTCTGAAGCAAGCCGTCCATTGGTCCCATGAGTTCAGTAAATTCCAAGCATCCCCGTCATCGGAATATTCGCACGAAGCCTCGCCGTAGAACTGAGGCCAAACGTAGTCGAAAAGCCCTGTGCGCATGGCTGCGCCGAGGTAACGATCAGGGATCGGACATTCTGGTGCTGCCGAAAGGAAAAACCACCTGTTCATCCTGTATCTGTGAAGCTCGAGTGCAAGAACATCGTAATATCGGTATCCGTTGTCCTTGATGAAGAAGTCGATGCCATCTAAGACGGCGTCTCCGAGGGGACCTCCAGAACCGCCGGTTTGGCCGCCCAGATAAGTGGTCCAGAGGTAGGAGGCGACCTGTTCGGCGTCTTCAGGTGAAGAAAGGTTATAATGGCCGGCGTCTCCTCCGATGGAAAGGAAGATTTTGACGCCTAGGCTTTGGCAATAGGCTATTTGGGAGGCATATTTGGCGCAAGACCCGAAACTACAATGTGATGATAGGTCCAGTTCTGGCGTTGCTCCATTGCCGAAGGTATTGAGGAATGCGATGTTTATTATGTCGTACTTTCTGGTGGCACATGCTGCGTCCAACTCTCCTCCTTCCCTGTAAAAGCCCCAGTAGGTTACAATTCCAGGGCGCTGGGAAGAGCTCGAGTGAGACATTAGCAAGAAGAGCAAAACCAGAAGGATCGAAGCTTGTGCTTTTGAGGCCATCAAAGTGGATTTGATAGAAAGCAAAGCTGCAAAGGGATTTCTTTCTTGTTGTGGACGACGATAGAGAGCTAATTTATAATGGGCATGGGCCAGGGTAATAATAAGAGTCAATTTCTTCCACGTGTTACAGAAATATATGTGTATATAGTATTATATTGAAGTTGTAGCTATCTATACAGCTTCACTATACGTGATAGAAGAGCCTATGTGATGCCTTGTCCAATTATTCCCCGTCTATATATATAATATATATATATATAGAGAGAGAGAGAGAGATGATTATTTAAATGTGGCACGTGTTAGAGGTGAAGCTTTGTCGCCACGGATTGGACCATGTCAGCTGCAGCTTGCCAACTAGCAGAACTTTCTCTGTGTTCTAATTGGGTTGTTTCTAGTTATTAATCTCTCCTGTTTCTTAGTCCACGTGTCTTTGTACTTTTGTGGGCATAAGATTATTCGAATCTGATATATGACAAATACATATAATGAATCATTTGCTCGAGAATTTGAGGATGATGATCAAAAGGTGTTACAAGTTGATTTGATGAATTTACTAGAAGAAACCTAAGATGCTTCTTAATTACATAATTTGTAGCGTGTAATCAGATGGCGATTAATCTCACACACACAGACGCTTTGATCCATAATTCCATTTGCACCCAAGAACTTTGTAAAGTAGCTAAATTTAAAGTCATGTTGAATTTTTCATGGCGATAAACTCAGGATAGTACAGTTGCTCTTATCCAGTAAATCTTACTGGCATAGGCAAGGGTCAGTAACTTCAAATATTTTACATATAAGGAAATGTCTTATATATTGAAGTTGTAGCTTTCCATATTTAATTAGCTATGCTACCATGCAGCAGCAACTAGCTAGGGGACCAAGATCGTTGGTCTCGTGATATGTGTTTTGGTTATTTCTAATAATTGCCTTTGTTCTCTTTTCAAACAAGGTTTTTTATTACCATTTTCTAATAATAGGTAGGGGACCAAATCTTTGGATATTTGCACATGTTTGTAACTTTGCGGGCGTCAGAATTTTCGCACTTGATTGTGGTAAATAATAGAATTAATATGCAAGTCTGGCGTCTTAATATCTAGATAATGTTAAGTTTGATGTCCTGCCCCCATATAGTTTATAAAATTAACATCTTATATCTTGATAATGTTAAATTTCTACTCTGCCACCAAACATTAATTCTCAATTCATAACTCGGAAGAAAGGAACAACAAGGTGTTTAATTGAACATGCACATGAGTGCTCGCTTATGTCATGTCATTGGAACATCACAAATTTCTGTCATAGATCACTCCTTCCTTCTTGGTAGATTCATTCTTGTACCTCATGGCCCAAACTTTCTGTAAATCAAGCATCCAACTTGTGAAATACACAACAATCTTCAATCATATGTTATCAGGATCATCGTGTTTATAGGTCCGTTACATGCATCAAGTATCATGTCCATTACACAACAATCTCTCCAAATAATATTTAAGCATATTACTTTTAAGTGCCTTTTAAATAGGCTTCCATGCTATGCTAGGCTTTAAGTAAGTTTAGACATAACTTAAAAAAAACAAATTTTATATAGGTTTTAAGTTAGATTCAAACCTTTGACCTACTACATAAGTTTAGATCTATTTAGTTAAAGCCTAACTTAATCTATCATATTTTCCCTCTTAACTATCAAGCACTATATGTAGGCACATCTCCAATATATATTTAAATTTTTGTTCATCATGTTGTGAAGGGCTAATCATTTCCGTTAAATCCTACTCTCTTGATTGTGATGGAGTAATTATGTGTGTGCATGCAATATTTTTATTTGAGTTTTTTTTTATATCTTTTATTTGAGTTTTAAATAACAGGATTTCAGGTTCTAATAAAATTTGGGCCTATATGACCCAAACGATTCTCAAAAAGCACTTCGCCTCTACATCCATTGTACAAGGCCCGTTATTGTCTAAAGGCCTGTTTAAACAAAAAGATAACAAAAAATGTGGGCAGTAGAATAATCAGCCAGACTATAGTTCCCATATTTTCTGATGTTTATAAACAAATCCGACTTTTGATGAATTTTAATTAAATATATCAAACATGTTGATATATTGAATGTTGATATGGATGTTATGTTGCATGATGTTTGTTATGTATAGTTTACTGTAAACATTTTATTATAATTTTACTACGCAGTAAACCAAAAAGATGAATTATTTCCGCATGATTGCCCTTGGTCCTTGGCCTATAATTCACGTCTGTGTGACGGGAGACATTAAAATATAAATGAATAAAATCATTAAAACTTGTTGGCAAAAATAAATAAATAAATCATTTAAATGATTTGCTACCCGATCCGTATTCATAAATGTGTATTATTAATATCAACAAGTATTTGGTTCAACCAGTGAAAAAAATTGTATCACCTTAATCAGAGGTTAAGTTTCATTCCTAACAATACAATAACATTTGGTGGTAAAATTTCCGTCCGAAAGGATCTAAATAAAAATATACAAAGGCCCGATAAACAAATGAAGGTAGGATAGGGTGTGATTCTCCATAAAATTTCGGCTTCTTCTTCACAAAGCAAGCTTTTATAGTTTTGGATGTGTGCGTATGTTATGTTAATCATTCTGAAACATTTCTTCTCTCTTTTGGCCCAAACAAACTTTTCTCTTCTCTTGTATCGAGAATTTTCGTCCTTTTATCGGCCACCCACTCATCAAAATCGTACCGAGATCTCCCAAGCCGGCTTTCAACCATATAATTTTCCTGTTATTGTCAATTTCTCTCTTTGTTAATTCCTCCCATGTCACCTATCAACTTATACCTCCTCATTCACTACATCACCTACTCACTATCAAATCACATATTTATAATATTTATTTACAAAGGTTAAGATTTGAATCTTTAACCTTTTATCTTTTATATCTTATACTTTTCTTTTTTATTAGTTAAATTAAAATGTATTTGCAGTCATTATATAAAAAATTAAATATATTTATTTAGTTGCACACATGTCAAATAATATATTATAAAAAAATACATGTATATTAGATTTTATTTTTAATTATTAATATAATAAAAAATTTTATATTTATATTTGTATAACTCTTTATATTATATTTTTTAATATAATAATATTTTTTAAGGAAATAAATTTAAAATAAATCAAATATTATATAATTTTATTATGAAAAAAAATATTTTAGTTACTTTTTAAATTTGTTTTTACTTTTTTAAATGAAAATAATTATATATAATTAAAAATCATTGTCAAGAGATAATTTTTTATAGTAATTAGCTAATGATAGAATTACTTACTAAATCTCTCACTAATTAGCTTATTTTAAAAAGAAATACAAAATTTCGTGCTAATTTTCTCAATTTAAAAAAGTATGAAAGAGCATCACCATTTTTTTTGTTAATTATTTTATTTTAGAGAGGAATTGTCTCATTATTTTTCTTATTGATTATCTTATTTTAGAGAAAGATTTATAGTCTTTCACTATTTCCCTCACAGATTATCTTATTTTAAAAAAAGATTAACAGTTTCTTAGTAGTTTTCCTAACTAATTTTAAGTTGAGTTATGAAATTACCATTTCTCACTAATTTCCTCACTAATTTAACATTTTAGAAAAAAATAGATAATCTCTCATTAAATTCTCTCACTAATTCACATTTTTTTTAATAGTGTCACTATATAGGTTAAAATGACCCAACCAATTTAACTCACTGAAAAAGTTAAAAAATTTAAAATATATATCCTTTGAGATTTAATTTTTTAACATCTCTAGAAAGAATAGGATTATGAGATATTATTGTTTCATAGTTCCACAAAAACAATTTCTTCTATAAAAGAGAGCTATAAAATCTTTTTTTTTTTTTGCAGAAAAGAGAGCTATAAAATCAGTATGATAATTTGTCCACGATCCACCAAGCCTTTATTTTCACATCATTTTATTATTTTACGCGCGCGCGCATATTTATGCCAAGTTGCCAACCTGATTCATCTTTCCAGAATACAGAGGGAATACACAGATCCGAATACTTATTTCTGGATCTATGTGTTTACGGATCATATTGAGCCTTTTAGTTAGGTTTATCTATTTCGATGTCCTATCATATTTCTAACCTCCCATTATCGTAGTTGATGTTAACTTATTCATTCTTTTTTTTTTTATATACTAATTCTAAGAATAAATATGATATTAAACTAGTTTCTAGCAATTATGTTTTATTTACGAAAAATATTTTTTACCATCACACACACACACTTACAATTTGTATCTTCCTGTCGTTAATTTTTTTATCATAATAATAATGATAACAGTGATAATAAAGCAAAGCTAACTATTTTCCACCGAAACGAAACGAATGGTTGAAGAAGCTTGAAAGGTAATTGAGGTTTTATTTAATTAGCAAATTTAGAGTGAAGAAAAAGCGATTGGCTGGGACAAAGTGTTGCAGTTTGATGTCTATATCAAACTTATAAATATTATTCTTATCACTATTCCCTTTCTGAGATGATAATGATATAATATATATATATATATATATATCTCGAAATCTATTATTTTCTTCAGGTTATCTGTTGCTGTATCATAAATGACTGTCATTTTGGACATTTAACATTATCCGAAGATCACATCTTTAAACTTCAAATGAACATTCTATATTCAATATGTCGGCATTTTATTATAGATGGATATTGAAGCAAAAATAGAAAAGACAAAATAGGCAGAATGAAAGGAAATCATCTGAAACATTGTATTGAATTGTTCATTCATAATCTGTCTACAGCGTGCACAATTTATAGAAAGTTACAACTAATGCAAGAAATGACAGGTGTAAGAATATTCTAGAACTCAATTGTGCTTGTGCTCTTCACGTGACTTTTTGATGCTTGTGTGGGAGTAGGAATTATGTGCTTTAACATCCCCCTGCGAGTTGAACTATACATGGAAGAACAGTGAGACTCGACCTGAGTGAAGTAAATCGA